GTTGCTTTTTGGTGCAGAACACTAAACAACAAACCTGTTAACCTTGCAGCTCTCAGCCCCCAAAGCTTTAAAGTCCTAAAGCCCAAAACCTGAAGCACTGAAGCCTTATCACCTCCTCCTCCAAACCCTAAACCTATGTCCTCAAAACACACTGTTTCTCGAAACAAAATAGGTGCCACTACCCTTTTACACATCCCCACCCGTTAAGAAAAACACCGTGGGGGGGGGGTCGGCTTGGGGGGCGGTGTATTGCGCTAGACGTTCGGGGGGGTCTGGTGGTTTAATGCTTGGCTCTGGGGCTGGGTTTCTCAGGATTCGGCCCTGTCGCTGGACAATTCTGCACGACTCTTCGTTTTGGCGCTTCCCGGCGCACGTGGCTGCATCCCACGTTTTGTGGATGCTGGCCCCCGAGTGAAACCTACGCCGTCGACGGCATCGGAAGCGAGTAGTCCGCATGCGAAGCTATGCAAGTCAGCAGCTCAAGGAAGGCTTGGTGCCGTTGGCTTTCGTCGGAGCAGCCTGCTGGAAGTTTAAGAGCACGTGGGATCCGAACTTGATGCCGCTTCGCTGAGAAGCTTCCGCCTGGCAGCTGGCAGGGAGGCGCGCACCGGAGTTGGTTTGGGCATTTTGGGCTTATCAGAGGGTTTACCTTCCAAGGCTCTGCTTCCGCTTTGCTTGCAGATGCGAGACGAGGCAACCCGCGGTCTCCTCGTAGAGTGCCAGCATGTGGTGCATGTAGTCCGAAATGTTCCGCATGCCCACTTTGTCCTTGTTGAAGGAAAGCTCGGAGTAGACAGGCACCGCAGTAGCCTGCGAAGGTGCGAGTAGGCACAGCAGCAGTGACTGTTAAAAAATTTTGGAAACTAAACAGGCCTTGGCCGCATTGTGCTTGGGGTTCACCTCCTGCAGCACCGGAGCCTGGAATTTGAGCAGCTGCTTGACGACAAGCACGTTCATGTGCACTCGCATCTTTTCATTGTCGGCGTCCACGGTGTAGTTTGCCGGCGGGACCTCGAACAGGACGTGGCCAGCCTCCGCATGCGGGTCGCAGCAGAAATGCACGCCATTGCCTTGAAGCTCACGTAGTTGCCGTTCTCGTCATCTGGCACTGTATCGTCCGGCTCGAGGAAGATCAAGTGGAGCTGCTTCACGAACTGCGACTCCAATGGCATTGAGTACAGCTTGGTCTTGTGCGTCTTGCGGACGATACTGCCGCGATAGATGTCCATGGTCACGGCAAGCTTCGCTTTGGACAGCGGCGTTGTGCGGACTGCGAGGATCTGGCAGGGATGGTCAAAGTTCTTGCTTCCCACGCCGAAAGGCCTGAAGTGCGTCGGCACCGCCGCAAGAGCCTGCTTGTCCGTCGCCGACTGCCTTCCCTGGGTCATCTGCTGCGCCGCCCTGGCTTTTCCCAATTCACACATCCTCCGACAGCCTTATCTTGCACAGTCTCCCAAACGTCCACCGGCCGCCGGCATCGATCGAATCGATATGAACGCAACCGAGTGACAAGCCCCGACCTTGCAATGTGTCGGCTGCCCCGCCGGCACATCATTAGAAGCCATGGCTCACGATAAGATCCTCCCTCTTAGTAGTGAACTGGGGCACACATGTCTCCGGGCAAAGGTGGGGCTGCTCCGTGCCCGCAGATAACAGATGACTGTATGCATTCACACATAGTGTCTGCCTCTCCGGCTTCTGCATGTTCTGCACACTTCACAACTCGAAGTGCCACGCAATGTCAGCGGCACAAGCAATACGGACAGGCCCACCCACGTCCACAAACCATAAAACACAGCCACAACAAGCAATCTTGCGATAACCATCCGTGCTCGATGGAGGAAGGCTTAGTTAGATGCAGCGCAACTATTTACAAAAAAAACACCGTGGGGGAGCGAACGTCGTTCAACACCTTTATAATCAAGACGGTGGAATTCCGCCCAAAATACACCGAACCTCTGTTTTAGGACGATACCCCCCTTGGTGAATTAGGCCCAAACTGGGGGTGATCTTTTACACCCTAAACATCTGCCTCTAAAACACACGAAAACCGTAGACATGTGTAAATGTATGTGTGCATGGATGAAATACCTACCTACCTACCTACCCACCTACCTACCTACCTACCTACCTACCTACCTACCTACCTACCTACCTACCTACCTACCTACCACACTACCTACGTACATACATACGTACATACATACATACGTACATACATACATACATACATACAAACATACGTACGTACGTACGTACGTACGTACGTACGTACGTACGTACGTACGTACGGTAGGTAGGTAGGTAGGTAGGTAGGTAGGTAGGTAGGTAGGTAGGTAGGTAGGTAGGTGGCAGGCAGGTATGCATGTATGTGTGGGTGTGTGTGTGTGTCCAAAATTATTTCATACATCAAGAATTTTTTTGTTCTGCTTAAAATTTCGAACATCAATCTAAATCTAAATAATTCTATAAATCTGGTTGAGGGGCTGAAGCGGCTGCAGGACTGAGCAGAAGGTTGCCCCGGCGCCTCTCATCCAGATCACTCCCCTCGCGGGTCGGCGAGGGAGATGCGACCTTCCATTCTTTGGGGGAGCACGTCTGCGACTGTGACCCTGACGTTTCGCACCGAACCTGCATGTAGCTCGCCCGGCCTCGATACTGACAGGAGGGACAGAAGGCTGGGGGAGCTGGGGGCAGCGGGATCACAGAGTGGTCGGGAGCCGCGCTCGGCAACGAGTTTGCAAAGGACTTGCTGCCTGCGCAGCAAGAAGGGCAGCCGTTGGCCAGTGCTGCAGCGCTTGCATAATAGACTCTGACGACGCATTGGACACTGGACTTCTGTAGTTTCAGGTCCTAGCGGTGGCCACAGTGCGGCGGAGAGTGTTGTTCAGGGCACACTGTGGAGCGCGTGCACCTCGAGGCTGCGCCAGCGCGTTTGCTGGCAGCCTGACCTCCTGTCGCGGCAAGCTGCTCGCGAAGGGAACTTTGTTCTTCCCTGACCTGCAGCCTGCAGCCTTGCCCACAGCCTATCGAACCTCCCGAACCAGGGAAACATGTTGCAAGTCTCTCCTTGGCGTCGCTGCGCGCCATAGGCAGGTCTGGACGGGTGAAAAGGAAGGCAGTGATCGTGCTGAGCACCTAAACTGAAATGCAAAAGGCCAAGGCGCCAATGGCAAGCGCGGGACGTGGCTTGAACTCAGGCTTTTTTCCTGAGCCCTGGGCCAGGACACCCAGGATCAGGAAAGAGACCGTGGTGTATCCAAACGAAGCAGCTTGTACCTTCTGATCGCGAATCGGCATGGAGGCGCTTGAAGCGGCACGAATTGTGTTTCACAGGGCTTCTGCGCCACTCTCAAAAACCTGAAAACAGCACAATCTCTTTGTAACGCTTGCAAGCACCTGCAGCAGGGAGGATCTCACGCCGCCCCAAGACCGGACCTCGGCCACCAGGGCCAGGGCTTCTGACCGCGAAGGGCGGCTAATGAGATGCCCCTTTTCGCAGCTTCACAAAGTGTCGGCACATGCCAAAGCGCATGGGGGGCCTAGCTGCTCCGGATCGTTCAACCCATGATGCATCCCATCCAATCTTTCTATATCCCTCTCAGGGTGTAGCAGCCAAGAGCACAGTGCGTTCCACCAAAGCCCGACAACTTTGCAGGCTGTAAGAACTGTTGTGCAGCGCGGCTTCCTCCCCGAGTCCACACGAAAAACTGCTTTCTGTTTGGATCCCATCGACTCTGACGTTCACAGGAAAACACTCGAAGACACGTCTAGAACATCAACACTCGAAAGTAGTTAAGTACATGAGCCAACATCCAAGAAGGTAGGTTTGAGAGACTCGGCACATTCCCCGACAGGAGGTCAGCGGGGTGCGACTCCAATGTGCAAATGCGTTGTGGACAACGGCTCTAACGCGAGCAAACCAATCGCACGCACAGCATGGTGTACAAATGTCCTCTGCTGGTTGTGAAGGCCTTACCAGCTCTGCATCCACATCGCCTTCAACAGAGGATCCGTGTCATTGGTGGACACAGGTGTCCGAGCTTCTTGCAGGGCTTACCACATGTACTTCAAGACTCAACTGCAAAACTCTCTGAACAGGCCTTGGACGACAATGCGGGATTTCTGCGAGGTGGCCTGTACGGGAACCACATGTCGTCTTGTCATGAGGATGGGCACAGGACTCAGGTCAAGCATCAGTAATTATGCAACCACAAGCCTGGAGTAGCGTCAAGCTGTTTGTGCACCTGTCGAGGTGCAAATCGTTCGCCGAGTGATCCAAACTCTGTAGTCCAGCCTTGCGGATCCTCTGCCCTCTGAACCTCCAGGGCTACAGGGTCTTTCCCAGCGAACTCGGCATGCTGCGAGGCCACTGCACCTGTGTCGTAGCCGTCTCCGGCCAGCGCTGGCACCAGAAGCAGCCAGGAGAGGATCCGGCAGGCGAGCATGGCAGACGTCGGTAACGGGTAACGAACCGAAACGGATCGCGTTGAGTTTCGTGCAATCCGTTGAATCCGTTGCTCAAGACTTCTCGAACTTAGCTTATCGAAGACACTTCAAATCTAGCAGAGAGGCAAGGTTGCGTCCTTGCGTTGCTGACATGTACAATGTGCTGTAGGGCCCTGTAGGGTCTGTAATAAGTCTACCTTTGGCACCAAGGCAGGGCCAGAAGGCACAGCAGATCTTCGCAGCCGCTGAATTGGTTCAGTACCTCGGCTTCTGCATCCATGAAAACTTCGACACCACTACAAGACGGACTCGTCAGAGCGAATAAATCCGAGGCGCCGGGTCTCTTCACGTCCTCCCATGACCCGCCGAGAAGCCCAGAGGTGGAAAGGTCGACTTGAGCCCAAGCCAGGAGCGAACAAAGTGAGCAAAGCTCGGCACGTTGCAGTTTCAAATCCTTGGTCATTGGTGTCAGCGGCCACCACTACCACCACCTAGTCCTGAACACCTGGTGCTTGACAAGCGCTCTAACTAATTCGTGGATCCCAATGGTCCTTGGGATTGCGTTTGAGGCCCTCGTCGTACTCCGCCTTGGCCTCTGCATATTTCTTCTCCTGCAACGGGAAAGCTGAGTCAAGCTTGTGCAATTTGCGCCGGACAGCATGCATCGTTCTGCCGGGCTCTTCCCGCTTGCAATACTGTTACAGCTTCAATTGAGTCAGGACTAGAAATGCCAAGCAGAGCTTCCATCCATTTTGGCCCTCGCCGGGCGTGAGCTGTCACTCCACGTTTGCTTCAGAACTGCCGGGGCTGCCCGTCTCGGAGACGGAGAGTGTGTCGTCGCGGTCGGGGCCAGGATGGATTTGCTTCGAGACCTCAGAGCGAGACAGTGGCATTGCGGGCAGCAACAGTGAGGCAGCCAGGACCTCGTTCGGCGGCTCGGAAGGGAGTGCAAAGCAACAGTCCAAATCACTGATCAATGTGAACATAATAGACGCGTGAGCCCAGAAAAGGCTGGCAAGAAGCAGCCACAATGGACCTCGAGGCCACCAGTACGCGTACAATGCTGCACCCGCATGGAGCAAGAGGAGACTTCGCGGATAAAGCCATCGGCTTTGCTTAGTTCTCACATGGGCCAGCCCCCAAAACTCTGCAAGAGCGTAGCAGAGAATCCACAGGAACCAGACACAGGACCTCTGCAGCGCCTCGATCAAGATCCACAGCATGATTCCTGCAGAGGCTGCCCAGGCGATCCAAAGTTCAATAAGGACCGTCGATGGAGCTCGGTTCACTCGTCGCATCTGCTCGGCAATGAAAGCGAAGTGTCGCATCTGCCGCAAGCAGAGCATGTTGTAAATGTACATTCGGCAGGATAACACCAGGAGCCTCCGCAAGAATGCGCTAAAGAGAACTGCCGAAATGATCGCCGTGCCAAGAAACAGCATGCTGCTGGCCAAGTTGGAAACGACAGTCCCAAGGACCCAGCCTTTGTGGCCGGCAGCTATTCTGGATTCAACAGGTTCCAAAGATATGCCGCGTTTTGAAGTCACAGTGCGAATATGCAGGGAAGGCCGGAAGCCTGTCCCGCAAATTCGACCATCGGAGTCCGTTAGGAAATGCCGTGGGAGAGCATGCAGCATGTATATGTCGTGCAGGCCAAGACTGGACAGAAGAGTTCTGGCCAAGTAGACACCGAAATACTTGGGATCCTCAACTGAGATCTCGACATGCTTCGTTCGCACACCGAGATCTCTAAATGCCGTGGATTCTATGTCCAGCCATGGGGCAGTGGGCCCTAGAGTCACCTCATACGTTGGCCTGGGGAACGCAGCATCGTAGCCGACATAGGCAAGGGCAGACAAACGGCGCAGAACGTTTGCCAAAATGTCGCTTCCATCCTCTGTGTCGTTCTTTGAACCTGCCCCTGTCTCGAGCCAGGGCGGCTTGACAGCTCCCTGACTGAGAGTTTTGTTGTCGAATTCTTGAAGCATCTCGGAGAAAGTGGATGCAGGCACTAGAGGTGGCCGCGCCCACCAAGTGTCTAGCAGCTCGACGCGAACGATGGTCGGTGACGCAGTGGCATGAGCCGTCAGACTCTCAATGTTGCTGTAGCAGCGGAAGGACCCCCATCCACCTTCCTGTGCTACAAAGCGCGACAACCTCAACGAGGAGTCAATCTGTGTATACGGACAAACAAAGGCGATGTGAACCATCAACAGCAGCATCACAACTTGCGCTGTGGACAGCCAGATGAGCTGCTGCAAAAGCCCTCGCTGTTCTGCCGACAAAAGTCCTACGACTTTCGACAAGCCATCGTGGCATCTACGCATGATCACATGCAGGAAATAAAGGTCGGATGGGCGAACAGTCGCTTCAGAGCTGTGCGCCGGCGGATTTTCCGCAATTCCCAGACGCAAAGCAAGCATGAAGGTTCGGGAGAGCTCGATGAAGACATCATTCACTAAGGAAGTGGAAAAGCCAATCGCAAAGCTCGAGCGATCCCGCGAGGTCTCCCAGGGTCGATGCCAAGCCGCCTGGGGAGCCTGAGCTCCCTGCCGCTGGGGAGCCTCAGGAGCCTCTCCGCCCTCTCCCTGACCGGATGTCTGAGAGTCTGGTGCCTGACGCGACGGTCCAAGTGACTGAGGTGTCTGCTGAGGCTGTGTATTCAGCTGCCCTGCGAGCTGCGGGGACAATGGGGACATGGCACTTGCTCTTTCAGGCATCATAGCTTTGTTCGCGCGTTGCGTCGGGTAGTTTCGCGTCTAGTCACCAGAGCTTTTTGTGCGCGGCATACAGTAGCTGTTCCGGCAACACTGTCAAGTTGTTCTTCAACCTCGGACGTTTCCAGCGGCCTTCCACCTATGATATGTCCCGACTCTGTTGGCATTGACTTGCAAGCAAGGTTATCTTATTTATGACATTGATCATGTGCATGTGCACGGGGCATTGTGAAGGTTGAGCCTTGAGACAGCAGATACGAGGTGTCCGCTTTACAACAGGGCCGAACCTCTTGAAAACATCATACCGCCTTGAAGAACTCGTTGCCCTTTTCTCTGTGCTCCTCGGCCTGGCAAAAACTCATCCGCTCACTTCCAGTTTCTTCTCTTTCGGCAAACTGCAGTGAGCACAGGCCGCGACCTTTGCCGGGTCGAGGTAGGCCTCTTTCTCATGCTTCTCCTTTGCCCTCTCGCACTCCTTGAGTGTCAGAACAGAATCCGCGAGGCAGCCCTTTTCGTGCTCACCTTCACTGTGACGAAGGCTTGCAGATTGCAGCTGCCGTCTGCACACGGTCTCACTCGCGAAGGTGCCCGGTCCCGCAAGGCGTTGCGAGTGCTCCGATTGTTGTCCTCGGTCAGCGCCTGTAAGCCAGTCTGCAGACTTGTTGAACGGCTCGGAATACCGAACAACGGTACGCACCAGAGCTGCACACAATAACAAGCCTTGTTGTACATGGCAATCGCATCATCATACCTCCAGGCCGCCAGCTGCTGGCCCTTCGAATTGTAAGTGACTCTTCCAGACAAGCGTTAAAAGAAAAAACGAAACGAGGCGTTGGCTTTGGACAGCTGCAATGATGGCTGAAATTCTTCAGGGATGGCTTCCGGCTTCAATGAGAAGGTGGCGTGTCACTCCTTGCCTGTGCTGCAGACGCTAGAAACGAGAAGACAGCCACGTGGTATTGCAGGTCACTTCTGTGAATACTGCGACCTGCCAAGAACAGGCTGTCAGGAAGTCTGTTGTCGCATGGGCACTTGTTCTGCTTCTCGTAAACAGAAGCCATCCTCTGGAAAACCTGCAATCATGCGGCACCAGGCCACCGAGCAGACTGACGGCGCGACTTAACTGAACTTCACTGCTCGGGCCCAACCTTGGCGACCTTCTCGAAGGATGCGCCACCAGGGTTCGCACTGCAAGGGCCGTCGCACCACTACCGAACCGAAACCAGTCTGCTGTATTTTCTCCGAGGCATTTAAAAAGAGGAATGTTGCGAAATTCCGCGACTCGTCAAAACTCGGCCGCCAACTCCAGGCCTGTTGATCTCATATCTTCGATCAATGAGATCTTGGCAGCTTTTGAGGACCTTGTCAAAGTGCCTTAGCCACGTGCCATCACCAAGCAGGAATGTAACGCCATCGGACTCGGAGCCCAATGCGGTAGCGGCAACAGGACCCTAATGTGTCACCTTCCTGAACTCTGTTTGTCAGAATACTCCAGCAGCATATTGGAGCAGAATCTGCCATCTGAATCTGCAGTTTACTGTAATGCCTGGCATCTAGACCTGCCACGCGTGGATCATGCATCTCGGAGTGCATCCTCGACTGAAGCATGATCGACCAGTTGGGTCCATGGCTCTGCTCCCATCTCAATGAGGACGGCATTCCTGGCACACAGCATGCCCTCGGAAAGGATGACTGCACGTGTGATTAGAACAGAACGCTGGTCAAGGCTAATGAGGCTACTGCCCCACTTAACCAAAAGCGCTTAGCATCAAACACAAGTGCATCTGACTACGACACCCTGCCCGCGAAAGGCTCCTGTTGTTGTGGTATGTGATGTCGTCGGGTACGACGGCGATCGCCTACAAAGTGGTGAAAAGCTTAGCCCTTGAGAGATGTTGCGGAGTTTCCGCACAGCCACATCAGAAACCTTGTCGTACATCTCCAGGGCTTCCTTGAACTGCTTCTTTTTGTACAACTCGTTGCCTGCGACTGTTGGTGAACACACTTTAGGCTGAGAATGCTCGTGCTGGATGTCGCTGTTGGGAAGCTTGTGTTAGCAACTAAGCCGCAAGACCTGGTCGCTCACCCACACATCCACCGAAAATAAAGCTTTGTTGAATAGCCGCAGCAGAGCCGAACTGAAACAAACTGCGGTTGCCTTTGGTCTTCCAGTCGTCCGCCTCTTTCTGCTCGGGCGACCTGAGGTCCTGGCCGAAGTTCAGAGAGGAGCCGAAGGCGAGAGCAGAAGCGTTGCTTACGTGAGACGCTGCTCGACTACGACACGTCGCTTGCAGGTAGAATCTCTGGGGCGTGCCTCGGGCGGAGCCTCTTCCTTCTTCGGCTCCTCCTTCTTCTTGGGAGCTGGAGAAGGCCTCTCCGTGCGACGTTTGGCTTTGGCTGGATCCCTGCTTGCTGTGCCATCTGTATCGGCTGAGGGCTGGGCTCAGGTTTGTCGAAATCCTCACCGCCTGGCAGCACTGCAGTGCGAAAGCGCAGAAAAGCACATGAGCCATGTGAAATGTCAGGCATCCGTTTGAAGCACTGCGGCTCAAGATTCCAAGAGACGAAGGGCAGCAAGCCATGGAGCAGGCCGGGGAAGAAACTCTGACGGCAGAACTCATGGTGCTGACATCGATGCCCTGCATGGCCATGAAGAGTTCTAGTACTCTTTTGTCCTGACACAACAGCGAACAGTCCAAATTAGGCGGGTTGTCCACGTTTTTCGACCAAGTCATCGAAGCTCATGCTTTGCTTAGCTTGGGATCTGCTGTCAGATGTTTTGTCATCTGAGGTCTGAGACCTGTTGCGATAGAGCGGGAGAGAGTTTGACTGTGCCACGACTTTCTGCAAGAAGTTGTCCTGGTTCATCATCTGCATGATCATCTGCTGCTGCATGTTCCCTGGGAGTGAGGCCAGCATCTGCACCTGCCCAAGGGGCATCTGAGCTTTTCTGGAGCAGTTCACCCATCGCCAACACAGAACAGGGGCCACTCAAACGGGACTGCCCACAGCTGCTACTGAAGCGAAGCCGTGAGCATTTCAGCTGAAAAAAACATTCGAATCTGCATTCCTCCAGACAAGACTTGTTCGAATCTGTGTTTGTATTCGAAACGTATTCGAGCCTGTGTTTGGCTTATTTTTTGTAGTGAGGACAAGACTGCAGGGAAACTCAAGAAAGCACAAATTCGGCAGACAGAAGTCGCGTCTGGGCATGTTGGAGCTTGCAACTTGGCCAGAGCAGAATTACCGAAGAGCGTCGCGCCTCAAGCTCCTGGAGAGTTCCGGAGCCACCCCGACATGTGAGTGTCGGCCCGTTTCTCATCCAGGAACTGTGACGAGCAAAGCCGCACAACGGCCCAAAACGGGCAGCCAAGCCAACGGGGAAAAGGCTCTGGAAATGGAAAATTGACCAGATTCCACCCGCCCCCCCTCCAGCCTGCCCACGCGATGGCCTTTCGAGACCAACGAGGAGCCACTGAGTTCCAAGAAAGTCCACACGACACTTCCAGGAAGGGAAGGAACCGAACCGCGAACCGTGGAACCGGAACCGTCAGAACCGGAACCTGTGAACCGAGTAGTGAAACCGGAACCGTCGAACCGAACCGAAATAGAAACCGAACCGAAAAAGGTTCCAATTCCCCGGGGTTTGGAGTCAGGGTTCTCTTCGCGTCTCTGCCCTTCTTTGCTTTTCGCTGCTTTCTCTGCTCTTCTTTTCGCTCTTGCTGGTCCTTGCTCTTCACTGCTTTTCTTTGATGTTGTCTTCTCTTCCCTCCCCGTCTCTTTCCTCATCCTCTGACGTCCCAAAATCACCTTAGGATTGCTCTTCTAAAGGCCTTGAAGGGGCCCCAAACCCCGCCAAAAAATCGCCCTAACACAATGTGTTAGGAATTTTCGGTTCCTTAGGAGGGCTCTTCTAAAGGCCTGAAGGGGCCCCAAACCCTCCAAAATCGCCCTAGCACAATGGGTTAGGAATTTTCGGTTCTGTTGGCCTTAGGAGGGCTCTTCTAAAGGCTTTGAAGCGGCCCCAACCCCCCCCCAAAAAAATAAATAAATCGCCCTAACACAATGTGTTAGGGATTTTCGATTCTGTTAACCTTAGCAGGGCTCTTCTAAAGGCCTTAAAGAGGTAAGGGCTTTATTTCGGGAACCGTGCGAACCGCGAACCGAACCGTCCAGAACCTTTGCTCAAAACCGAACCGCCGAACCGAACCGCACAAACAGAAACCGTAACCGAACCGAACCGCACCGTCCGTTTTCTGCACTTCGGTGGAGTAACTTAACAATGCCATTGTCATCGCCATGCTGCCCTTAGTCGAGTGCCCCGTGCAAAAAAAGGGGCACGACCACGTGACTGAACAGAAATCCATCTCGGAAACTCTCGAGTCGGACAGCTGATAGATGCAAAGACACAGAGAGAAGCTTTTTTCTCCATCCCTAGAGCAACACTAAGCGGGATACAGGCGATCTGAGTCTTGAAGACGACAGGATTGAAGAACTCCACTCGCCACTGAAGCAGACTGTCTCATGCATGCCAGCTCGAAATGCGTGTTGCGACGCCGTGGTGCGACTTGACCGCTGTCAACCTCTCCAGCTAGGGCCTTCTGCATTAGCTCCTGGTCCTGCATGTACTCCTGGACAGCTCGCGGCACGTGGGCAAGAAATCACAACGCTGCTTTTTCTGGCCTTGATCTTGGGATTTCTGACTGCAGCAGCTGTAAGAGCCTTAGCAGATGGTTCATGCATGGACGAACGACATGCGTGTCTGCAAACAGCACGTCACCGTCATCTAATCTAGAAGTGTCTGGCAAGCCTGGTTGCGTTCTGCGGCGAGTAAAGGTGGGAGCGTGCGCAAGCACAGAGCTCTGCTCAACAGGAGGAAGTTGTTGAGGGTTCGTTCACCAAAGAAGCCTCTGCCTGTGAACCCGGGTCTTCGACAGCGGGGTCAAATTGCAGGCCGCCGCCGCCTCCACCAGCACCTGCACCAGTGAGCTGCGGAGGTCTCATAATCTACTGGCCACAAAATTCAATCAGAGGAGAAGCTTCTGAAGACCTTTCTCGCTGCACTCACCTGGAGACTGGGATCAGAGCTCATCACGTCCTCTGAGCCCCTTTTTAAGTCACACGATCAGCAGCGTGGTCAAAGACCGAGCATGTATCCAATGCCTGGTGCATGTTCTTCAGCTTCCCTTCAGATGCTCTTTAGATTCTCGGGATCACCCAGTGTTATGCGGATGCCGATTATTGCGTCGCTGCACCATGCAGGAGCTCAATTGACTGTAATTTCGCGAAGACACCGACTATGCCGCAGCCAGGGCATCAAAGCGTCGGCCATCTGTTTCGTATTGCAAAACATGAAACCGCCACTGCAGCACTGCTTGATGCGATGCAACCTGCCGATAGTGTTCTCGTACAGATGGAAACCGGTCGTCCTGCTTCTGCGACCCTTTTTGTCACTACTTGGCCATTGATGTAGTTGAATCACAAGTCCTACCCTGGATGTACTTGTGGATATGATATAGCGGCATACTCTGTTTCTTCGTAGGAACGTTAATCACATCCACAAGCATCGCAGGAATGGATTCTGATTCCGAGCCTTGCCTACGTCGCAGGCACGCAAATTGTGGGCAACTTCAGTGGGTCGACTTTGAAGTGGCACAGCCCAGCAGCGGGCCTGCACTCGTTGGGTGCCATCAGTACTATCATCCGCTTAGGGCCCAGATACACGGCAGCGACCGTAGTGCGCGTATGCGGGAGTTGCCTTGAGGCAAGCACTGCTGGCACCGGAAACGTTGTGCTCAGAGTTCCTCTTTTGGGAAGCAACAGCGGTCATAGTTGTACACACCGTCCTGGCATCAGCGGTCTCAAGCAGCAAAATCCCAGAAGGACACAACGAACAACACGGCCGTAGCTTTCCACGAGACCACAATACTTGCTTGCAGGCGCACCCAGCACTGTGCGTTGCCGTTCGGCCCAAACTTAGCTTCGCAGCCTCAGAGCGATTCAGGGAACTGGAAGAGGGCTTACAACCCACTTGGGTCTCAGAGCTACCCTTGGCCAGCGGCAATTCTCGTAGCCGAAGCCCTCTGCCCAGCACTCGGAGTTGCCCAAGGGCATGACCTCACGGAGCAAAAGCTGCCTCCACACTCTCCAGACTTCATGCCGGCTCTCTCAGCCCCCCAATGATATCCGGTCACTGGTCAGCTGGGTAGTGCACGGTGGTACCTGGCGGAGCGCACGCCTGGCCCGACGCAGTGAGTACACTTGGCTGCTTCAGTTGGCATGGTTGAGGCATTTGACACCGGCATCTGCGTTTGCACGCGTAGCACTATGGATCATGGGCTCATGGATGATAAAGATACTGCACGATGCAGAGTAGCAGAACAGTTGTCCTGAATGCCCTGCGTAGTGAGAGCTCCCATCCCCAAACGCATTTCGTGCAGAGCCGGGCCTTGGAGCCCGACACCCAGCCCTCTCCGGCTTCCCGGCCAGCCTCCCCGGTCCTCACAAGAGAGCAGACTTGAACGGGCTTTTTCCTGGAGCTCCAAAGTGCTCCCGTCCGGAACCAGCACTTCTGCTCGCCTTCCTCGGTGCCCCAGACCTGGCAAAAGACGGTCCCGTCGATCTTACCACCCCCAAGTAGAATCCAAGGGCCGAGCCCAGAATTTGCAGTCTGGCAAGGAGAAGCAAACCTGGCAGCATGTTGGGTTTCTCCAAAGTTGCCGCACATCAGCCGTAGACTGTCAGACCGTTGTCGAAAGGATCGAAAGGACCCGAAAGATTAAAAATGTGTTGGAACGGGACCAGGCAAGGGCCTTGGCACAGGACTCGATCTCGCTCGCCACAAACCTGTGAGGGCGGGGACGGCTCGGAACGGGAGCGTGTCTGCCTGCCTATGAGACAGTCAGTGGGCAAGCAGTTTCAAGCCAGGAAGCTTGTCAGAGCTCATGCAGTCGTCGAGGAAGCAGCCAATGGTCGCTCCGTAGCCCTCAGGCTCTGCTGCAAAGATTCGACTCAGACAGATGACATGGGGAACCTGGAGCCCGTAACACAAGACCTCCCATGCAAACATGCAGTTGCCGTTGAGGCGGCCTGCAGATTGGTGAACAATGCCTGTCCGGCGTTCCTGATGACGGTGTTCTGCTCCTGTCGAGACTCTCTTATGAGCCTCTGCAAGGCCAGCTCATCGCCATAGCACTTTTTATTTCGAGATTAGACCTCTTGCCGCCTGTGTTTCAGGATTCTGTTGCTGAGTGCACACAGCTCTGCACTGTGTAAGCCAGGCATCATGCAAACACTGCACAGCGAAGTTGCAGGAATGTTTGCGTGAACTGCCTGACAACCAGGCCAGTTCTGGGCCGCCACTATGCCAATCCACATCAGCCTGCAGCCAGAGGCCACCAGACTTGTATCATGAAGAGCACATCCGCGAAAAGCAGTTGCTGCATCTTTCCCAAATAACCTTTCAACCACTCTGGCAGACGATGGCAGATGCATGCAAACAACTTGATTGGAAAGCCTCGGAAGAGATCTCAGCATGACGCCTGCAGAATGTCCTGGCATGAGAAGGAATGAGGCCTACGGATTCCACAGGCCAGAAAGAAGCAGGAGGGAGACTTGGTAAGCTCTCGGGTGCCCCTTTTCTCAGATTCTTCACCAATCGCATGGGCTTCTTCACGAGACAGCGACGCTACCACTGTGTTTCCTTCAGTGAGCCTTTCAACACTACCTCTGTCTTCCTTTCTCTGGGCCTGTCAGTGCCGAAGGTGTGCCGGTGCACCGGAGCTGAAGATCGAAGGCCCGGAGTAGATTTGAGCCGAATCACCACGAAAGCATCGAACACAACATCTGACACTGTGAGAAGTTGCCTTTCCCTTGCATGATCTGCCATGCAGATCCGAAAAGTTGCCTGCGCCAAGTACTTCGTATTTGGCATCCATGGCCTGAGCAGATAACCAACATGAAGCCCCCGAGTGCCCATCCTTTCTGCTAAGTGCGAAGAGAAACGCTCTGTGGCACCCATACCATGAAGCACAATTAAATTGCCAACCGCTGGAGGCTACCTACCCTTCTGCGCTCGGACAGTCCAAGGATGGAAAGAGAGGCGACGCCTTCTTCAAGCCCTCTTTCAAGGTCTGATCTTCCGGCGCCAACTTGAGCCCAGCCTGTCAGAGCTCTGTCAGTCCGGGCTCTTGCAGACGTCACACTTTCCCCCAGAATTTTCGAACCTTGCAAGCGGCCCCGCGACCTGCCTTGTAGGTCTCAGCAGCATCGTCGTACTTCTTCAAGAAGAACTCTGCAAGTCCCTAGCGGCCCGCTCGGTTCCCTTTATTCAAGCCTTCAGCCTCCTTCAGCTCGGACTTCTCTGTCGCGCCTTTCGCGTGTATCCTTTGGGCCAATCCGGCTTCAGCCGCACACACTCGGCCCCATCCTGCGCGTAGAAGGAGACAGAAGCACTCAGGTGCACCTGCAGCCTTTTAGCACCCTTCGTCTAGTCTAGTCTTGCCTCTAAAGCCTTGTCGTACTGCTCCAGAGATGCATAGCATGCAGACCTCGGCCGACCAGGCACGGTGACCATCTATTCTTCGGCTGCAACTGCACTGAGACCTTACAGCGGATAGAATTCCAGCATCTTTGGTTGTTGAGACCGACAACTCACAAGAACCGCCGACCATGCCGTCCTAAACCCTCTCCCACATGGCGCCAGATTTTGAGGCGTGCCGGATGCGTACTTGCGGGCCTGTTCGAGAAGAAGACGTGGTCGCTGGGGTCATGCTTGATGGCCTATCCAGGTTTGATCCTCTCTACCCTGACATGGATCCCCTTCCTGCAGGCCGACAGGCTTCAGTTAGAAGCGACACACATGACATCATGTTCTCCCTTCTTGCACAAGGGATCTTCCCCTGGATGCGCATGAACAGCATAACCAAGTGTGCGACACGCCCGTCCCTCCGTTTGCACCTCTGTGAAGTGCTTGATGGCCTCCTTGAAGTTCTTCGCCTCACAGACAGACAGACAGACAGACAGACAGACAGACAGACAGAGAATTACAGAGAGAAAACAAGCCCTTTAGCAACCCTAAGGCCCTAAAGCCTGAAAACCCTGCTCCTTGCTGCTCTCTCCGGCAACGGGCTGCGAGCGCCTGGAACTCCACGTTGCCCTTGGCCTTGGCCTCGGCCGCTTTGGCTTTATCAGCCATGGGGCCGGCACCTGGCGAGAAAAGGAGCCCTTTCCAAAAAGGGTTCGGACATGCAGAATTGCTGAACAAATCCTTCAAAGAGAGTCTCACCGAAATCTTGGGCAAGTTTGCATGTCCACGGAAGGACATCTTGACTTCTGCTCGGCCTCAACACCACACGTTGAATTGAGCGGAGCTTCCCCTCCCCTTGAAAATACTGCGAAGCGATCACACAAGCATGCATTCGCTTACGGAAATGTGTGCATACGTGTGTGTATAAAAATGTATGTGTATGTATATACATATATATATATATGGATAATGATAATGTACGCACATATACGCAAACATGCAACCATGTATCCATCCTCGCCCCGGTCTTCCCACCTATCCTGCTCATGTCTGTACACACATAAACCATGCACCATCTTGATGCAGCCCTTCGCGCTTGCCGATGTCTTCTGAAGCCAGAACAGTGTATGATGTATGTGCCGCTGTGCTTCAGCAATCCTGCACGTGGGCCAAGCTGGTTCGACACTTCAATGGGTTGTGAACACCAGTCCGGAACAAGAGCCTGCACCCAAACACCAACAAATCCTCAAGCTGAATCCATGTTCCTGTAGTGGGACGTCGGTGTTTCCTCAGTGCACCCGCCACTCATCTATACATTTCGCCAGAAGGCACACTATTAAGCTGGCATGTCGCCCAGGCCTCGTGTCCAATTAGTCGACGGGATGAGAGGGCGAAACAGGATTCGTTTGCTGGGGCTACATGAGTCCTGTCACCGGGTGGGCATGCAATTCGGCTTGTCCAACACGAAAGCAGGAACCTCTGGTCAGGTGGACTCCAACAGAACCTAATCTACGGATGCTCCATACATGCGCATCCTGCTCTCAGTTAGGACTCGTGCAATATCCGTTGAATTTGCCCCTTGAGTGGGGAGCGAATTTGTGATTGCAGGGACTAATGGGGCATTTGCAGTATTTGCAGCGCACCTACTGGTGCTGCCCGCACTTTGCAAAGCGGCCACTCTAATTCCTTCAGCAGCTGCTGCGTCTGGATTTAGATTGGAGCCCCGTCGTGGCAAGCAGGCGCGCTTCAGTCGCAACGCTGCTTGTTTGCATCCACAGGAGCAGCCCATTGAACTGGCGATGTACAAGAGCAAAAGGATAAGGGCCTCAAATTCCTGCCTGAATCTGAAGGGAGTGAAATGGAGCACGCAGTGCGCCTTAAAAGACGCGTCGTCTCTCCCCAGCTCGCCGCAAGGGAGAGGGCGATCCAAGCAACATCTCACGGCTCAAAGCCACCTCTGCAAGGACAGACTCCCCAAACAAAAGCAAGCAAAATGCAGCATGCAAAACACAGAAACGTGCTGCGCTCTGCCTGGGAGTGATCCGAGGAGACCTGCCCAGGCCGTGCCAACTCCGGCATGACCAAAGTCACAGCTGCACAAAATGATCTTCGGGAGCGCAAGAAAGCATAGGGAATTTTGTTATGAACAATGTGAGAGTGGGATTCCTTCTCCGGCCTTGCTGTTGAAGCGGAGCTCTTGCCGAAGATCGCGAACCATCTGCCTGCTTTCAGCAGATTCAGCCGATTTTGCTTCGGGCAAAGGTCCGTTACGCAGGGAATCCATGTATGCAAACAACTACTACACTGTTACACATTCGTCTCGTTCACTTCCCATACTTGTCCGACTTTGGGCCTTCAGTCTCCTCTGCTGACGTTTACAGTTGAAGTCGACGAATCGCTTGTCGATGACGCTGATGCTGATACATGGGTCGTGTGACCCCGAGAAACGGAGAAAGATATGGGATGATTAGTGGTCACGGCATATTGATGCGTTGGATTTGGGCACTCGTGTCCTCGTCATAAACAGGCTTTTTCAAACGGGTCATCAGCTCTCGTTTTCACGATTCGCACGTGGGCGTTCAAGTGTTTGCTTCTGCCATTTGCTGCGACACTCCGGCAAAAAAATGCTTGTGACCCTAACAGGCAGAATGGGCCCAGCAGACCCCATTGTCAGTATTCTCTTTGGAAGACACCGAGCTCTTGCAACCCACAAGCCTGAGCTGCTCCTCGTGGCACTCTGCGGCCGCGAACTCCTCATATTCCGGGGCGGAGGGATAGGGTGAATGAACAGAAGCACTGGCACTGTCTAGCCGCGCCCCGCAGGACGCATCTGAGGCTTGGAAGAGTTTTGAAACTGAAGCTCACCTTCAGTACTATCAGATAGGCAGACGTCCCGGCAACCGGACTTCACGGAGGCATTGCCGTGCACTGCAAAGTTTTGACATGGAGTTTCACTCCTGGTCCACAAGGCCTGCCATAAGAGAGGCCTCACAATGCCACAAGCAGTGCCTTCAGTTTATCCTGGGATGTGGAGAGAGATGCGGCTTGTGCTGTCGGGAAGGTGCCCCTCAAACGGACACCAACTTGCGAGTGAGACGTTGTGCTTCGGACCAGTCGGCCTCACGCATCCAGCTGTGCATTGAAATCTGAATCCGCCGAGCAAGGTCAGCGGAGAAACATCGTCGTGACTTAATGGAATCTACACAGGTTCCCGACGAAATCACAGCTCGGATCACAACTAGGTGGGACGATGTTCTGCACCGCACACCTCTATACCTACTAAGCATGCTACTCCGACTTGCATTTCTGCGCACATCACGATTCGAAAAATCGCTGTTTAACCATCCAAGCTTCTGCACTTTGGACAGAATTTCTGCGAAGGGCTTCAGAAGTCGATGGGTTGTGGCAACCAGAATTCAGCTTCCTGGAACAGCGCACAACGAATGGTGGCATGCTCAGTCCGTGGACCCTAGCCTTTTTTCATAGGATCTCCTTCAAGTGTCCCGACACTCCTCTGCACAACCGTGTCCCTCACGACTGAGGCGAGGTGCCAAGCTATGTTTGAGCACTGTCTTCGCCCGAGGTTCTGTGCCATCGCCGTAGCCTTGGTTGGACTGAACAGGGCCAAGAGACAGCTCCTACCAGGCTGAAGGCTCTGAGACCCATGCTTAGCCACAGCGAGTCGCATGTCTTTCTTGCATAAGACCTGACGGCAAGAAGGAAACAGTCACGATCACTGCATTCTCCAAATGCAGCCCCGGACAGCATCTTCGAACCCAATAATCTCCATCAGACTATAAATGCAGTCCATCTGGCGCAAGTTGGATTGCGGGCCAGCCATGTGCACAAGCAGTCCTCTGGAGCCAGCTGAGATCGAGAAGGCAAGAAGCACACCCTGCTGTACCAGACGATTTCTACACTCTGATTGGACTGCACGGTGCTGCACACACGACTCATGCAGCCCAGGCTCTGCACAGAACACATGCTCACACGGCAAGGCAATCAGCTCGCCTGAGTCGCAGTGTAAAGGAGCCTGCTTTGCTTGCTCACCCAAACTGCAGCTGTCCATGCTTCAGCATCGGAGCTCAGGCGCCGAGGCGACACAATATCAGAGGTCCTACACAGGTCCTTCCGTACCTGGCTCCTCCAGACAGGTGGCGCTTGTCGTCGCTTCCGTCCAAGCAAATAGCACAGCAGTCGAAGTCAGCGCAAAGCTCGGACTCGCGGCTCACCTGAGCAACGAGCTCACAAGTCTACACATGCGGCACTTCGACCTCTCAGACGAACATCTGGTATGCGACTGCGGCACCTTCCAGACAGTCCGCACCGTCAGAAGCCTCGGCTGCAGGCACTGGTTTCCAAGTCGTCTTCATTCTGACTCTTGCTGGCCAGGCCAAGCCGCTCTTCGGGTGAGAGGCCGAGGCCCCGCTGGCCGGGCCAGGGAGCCGGGGCTCCCGCGGCTACCGCGGCTCCCGCGGCTCCGGCAAAGGCGCTCATGGCAAAGGGCCCACCCTGCAAGGAGATGAAAACTCACCACGTCACGTCTCCCTTCTCTGCGCGCAGACCTCCTGCATCATTCGAAGGCGCTCTGCGGTAATCTCCCGCAGCCTCTCCATGGTGAAGACCTGCCGCACCAGCCAAAGTGAAGAACCTTTTGGGCACCGCTGGCGGGTCCCCGCCTGCTCGGCTGCAGGCCGGGCCGAGACCTCCACACAGCGCAGGAAACCGCAGGCTCTCACACAGGCAGCGTATGGCAGCGTGTAGTGTAGTGACTTAGTGTGAGAACACGCGAGAACATGTGACACACAAAGTGGCAACTGATCTCGGACGACTCTCGGGGACGACTCTCCGATTTCTCGCCGGCCTGAGCACCGGTCGCCCGATGAAACATCTGCATTTCCCGGGCCAGCGGCGTCAGTGGTGAAAAGACCCGGACTGGCAGGTACAAGGCCAGTGCGACAACAGTCACGGAAAGCGGAGCATGGGTTTTGCTGCTCAGTTCTCAGGTTCAACGGCGAGGGGTCTTGTTGCAGAGTTGCCAAGCTAACAAGGACATAACTCTAGATTCTGTCCACCTGGGGCTGGTCAAGTCTTGCCTGCGACTCATCTGTGTGACTGACAAGAGGGTCGTCACTGCAGTGCAACACGTGCCGAAGTCACTGGAGCGGAAGTCCAACAAGTTGTTGGGCATGTTCGATCGGCGCACAGGAAGGGGATTACCTGGACTGGAGATGTCGAAGTTGCCGCGTCACTGCACGACAGGTACTGGCACATGAGCTTCCGACCAATCCACAGTCTTAAGTACATGCACCATATGGGTCATGCTGAAGTTGAGGCAAGGCACGTCGTTCTGGCGGTACATGGTGACCTGCATGTTCCAACAAGCTTTGTGGACAGACTGATACTTCACTGCCGACTGAACCAAGCAAACATAGTGAAACTCAGAAATTCCAGGACCACAAGTAGAATCACTAGGATCTCAGACCTGTGCACCTGGAAAGGAATGTGAGGAGACAAAACCCTGCAGCACAGTCAATTTCTGGAGAGAGCGAAAACGTGTACAAAGGAAGGAATACAGCGAACCATTAACTACACTGCACATAATTCTGATTACTTCTACATACTATTGCACATATTACCCGGAGCGACAACATTCCTGCTTGTGGATTGCGACCAGCAGCGCTTATCGGGCAAAACGACCGAGTCATGGCACAGGCCTTGCATGTTGTTACGTTTTGCAAGCCCGGCTCGCACACTAGAGCAAGAAGCTCACGAATACCGTAACGAGATAGGCATGCTGCAGCACACAGATGCTAAGACACGTGGTAGCACAATGTTGCGGACCTGCCGTGTGCTTCATGTACAGCAAGTGGCGCAACGGCGAGGTCTACACGAGGCTTGGCCAGGCTTGGTGCCGAACAGCGTTGCAATGTTCCAGGTGTATAGCTCTTTTTGTCTATGGCATCGCGAAGTCGCAACACCCGCTTGTCAGAAATGAAGCGTGAAGACGCGACAACTCGTTTGCAGTTACGATCATAAGCTTCGTCGGCAAGTGAGTATCCGTGGACAGCTTCTCAACCCAGCATTTCTGATGTCAATGCCACGCGTATGTCTTTTGCGAGATCATGCCTCAAAACCCTCAAAACTCTACCAGAAGCTTAACAACCAAACACCATGTGCACACGCTGTCAGACACGCAAGCAGTGACAAACACAAGCACAATTACAATAACAACAAAACCAGCACCTACGCCAGGCCCTGCGATGTACGTCTTCTGGCTTCTGGTCATGATCTACGTAAAGGATCAAGGGACTTAGTACGTAGGCGGTTGAACTGTTGTGACTGTTGTGTCATTTTTTACGATGTCAGTCTCATGCGCTGCCTGACGCCGTTGGCTCAAGCAAGGCGAAAAAAGATTCTGCGCCGCTTGCGAGAGGCCCGCACGAGCTTAGGTAAAGCACCGGACGCATTGGCACCAACTCACCACTGGAAGCTAGATGCATGAGGCAGCACGTTTCGCGCAAGTCGACGCAGAGCGGATTGCACGAGCCAAGGCTCGAGTTCACACAGGGCATTACGATTTAAAGTATCTCATAGCAGCACAAACACACAAACTCTTTAAATCTACTCATTGTGTGGTGTTGTTGGACTCGATTTTCTGACATGGGACATAGCTGATGGATGCTGATGGAGTGGACTCTGACCGACCTCGGGACAGCCGCGGCGCACTGACAGAGCGACGGCCCTGCCGACGGTCACGTGCCTGGGCTTCAGCACTTGCAGTGGCGACGGGCGGATGCTTCTGACGTGTGCTGGGGGTTGCACGAGCATTAAGACATTCCCTGTCATCAGTCCCGTCTCCATTCCCGCCACATAAGCTCCAATGGGAATTCCGCACACCGCGACTACTTTGCCTTTGTTTAGGAGGCCCAGAGTGTCAACGCTGGGAATATCAAATGGAGCCCGGTTCCTCATCTCTCAGCAGTAGAACTGTCTTCTGTTTAGTTAGCTTCAGACTGCTCTGATCACCTTCGGTAGTCCTTCAGGACTGGAGCGTGTTTGGGGTTAAGGCTCCAAGGGGCTAGGGGGATCCAAGGCCAGGCACGCAGGTGCAGACCTTGAGAGCTCATGATGGCATTCACTTGCCCCCTCCGCCCCCCAGATGTTTGAAGGAAAGCCGCAGTGGGATGGATAGCCCGCAAGGTCTGAGTGGGTGTCAGTTGCTGCACGCCGGAAGTGTCCATCGGAGCCTTCACAGGGCATCGTGACTGTGCGGGAAACCGCCTATGCGAATTCACCCGACAAAGATGAGGCAATTCCCAGCAGGCCCCAGCGTGGCCAGGGATGAACCAGTGAGGCAGGCCCTGGGCTCAACAGACACCACTCACACAGTTTCACAATAAAACCATCAATGCACTACTACATCAGCACAAGAGCTGCATCTCAAGGATACCATAATAGAAGGTATCAAGCTCATATATGAGCAGAAGGCTTGTGCTGGATGGAATCAACACCGGGCACAAGATGGCCAAACTTCATGCAACGTGGCTCCCTAACAGGCCCTGCATCCCAGCACCCGTCGTTCAGAAGAGGATCGGATGCTGTGGCTGTCGGGTCCTGCTTGTCGGGACGCTGCAATTCTTCGGCAGACATTTGTGGCGCCGCAAAGCTTCAGAAGCAGCAAAGCAGCCATGAGCCTCAAACCATCCTGGCTCCTGCAAACACGAGCTAACAAAGGACCGACCTGATCCATGTAGTTCTCTGTGGGCGTTCGGTTCTGGGCAAGCTCCTGTTTCCCGGAGCTTGGGAATGGCACTGTCCATTGCAGCTACCAGATCTGTATAACATATTTGGTGTGAGCACTGAGCCATAGTGAGCCAGCCTCGAACCACGCTTGGAGACTGACGGGAGACGGCACGCCAGAGTGAGGGCCAGCCTTACAGAAGCCCGGTGACCACGGAGCTGTACTGCAGCTATGCAGTGTTTAGCAATTCCACGCAAGCAGCGCTCTGATCACATTGGGGTCATCCAGGAGAACTATAATAATCACTATAAGAAACGTCTGCTGGATGATAACAATCGAAGCAGCAAATCCCTTGGGGAAGATGGGGGCCCTTTGGGGTTTGTGGCAGTGCACCTGACGCTGCGGGCCACGTCTGGCTTCCTCGCGACGGAAACAGATGCGAGCAACATGGACGATTCCATAGGGCCATAAGATCGAAATCAAGCGAAAGCAAGAGCAGCCGACATGACTAGTGTCGAATCAAAGGTCCTCTCCCAGTCGCCGCATGTCGGGAAACGGGGCGTGTGGCCGGACTTGTGACGACTCCTTAGATACAAAGCAGGTCTCAGGTCACTGCCATGGTCTGCGCCTATGCCTTTGGCTCCTATGGCGCCTATGGCCCTACGGCACTTGCAGCGGATTTGCAATTGCGAATGCTTTCAGAGCTGCTCGGCCGTGACCCTAGTGATCAAGATAACGGCTCTGAATTTGTTGCAGTGCACAGCGAAAAAACAAACAGAGGGAGAGCGACAGAGAGAGGGAGAGAGACAGAGAGAAAGAGAGAGAGAGAGAGAGAGAGAGACCGAAAGACAGAGACGAAAAGAGCAGGCATTGTTGCTTGTTGTCCGGACACGGTGTTTGTTGTCGTGTTCTTCTTGGTAGGGTTTACACTTCCAGTGAAGTTCTCCCAAGGGCTCGGGGCTAGGAGCCTCCTCGGCTCCGCATTCAGATGTGAGGTGTACAAAACTCGCACAGTCTCCCAAACAATTAGCATGTCACCCCCCCCCCCAAAAAAAAAAGAAAAAAAAAATATATATATATATAATAAAATAGTATAGGTATAGGTCGTTATTTAAGCCCCCTTTTTTTATCCCTCTCCCAGGCCCCCAGGGACCTCCGGCACTGGCTCGGCAGCCCCGGAACCCACGCAAAGCGCGGCCGGTCCGTTCAGAGCTGCCTGGGTGGCCCCAAGACCCAGAGAACCCAATAGCCCTTAACTAAGGAATATACTTTAAATCATAATGGTAAGGCCCCCTTAAATTTAAGGTCTATTCCTTAATTCAAGGGTATTGGGTTCGCTGGGGACGGGCCTTCCTTTCGGGTCTTTGGGGAGTTTGGGGCCTTTTTGGGGGATTCCTGAAATTGGGGCCTTCGGGTCCTTTTTAGGGTTGAGGGGTTTAGGGTTTAGGGGTTTGAGGGGTTTAGAGGCTTAGGGATTTAGGGGTTCAGGGGCTGAGGGTTAGGTGGTCGGCCTTGGGGTTGAACATTCAGGATAGCGCCAGAAAGGGGAGAATGCACGGCGCAGGACTGAAAGTTCCTCGTTAGCTCTCGTCCTCGGCTTTGAGCCTCAGGATTCACCGCTTCACTCGTTCATGTCCGATGGTTTTCTGATATGGCTTCAGGTTTGCAGGCAAGGCTCATTTAGCCAGCCTCCCCTCGCCCATGTCCCTGAGGCCCCAAAACCCTGCGTAAGTGTTGGTGCTCTGAGCCGAAATACTGCTACTAGAATCTCAAGCCTATATATCGCGGCTTCCGAAAATAGGGGGCCCTAATAGAGTACCCTAAATAGCAGGATCCCTATTATCAGGACCCCAAAATAAGGTACCCCCCTATTTTCGGAAACTCCCGTATTAAGGTACGTCAAGACTTCTAGACAGCGCCTCTTCTGCAGTTGCAGCAGCGTCCGCCAGGGCCGCCGGACTGGACGGAGAGCTTTTGCCGGGGGCTTAATTGAGGCGTTTTGGGGTTTAGGGCTTTTGGGGTTTGGGGCTTTTTGGGGGTTTGAGGCGGGGTTTTTGGTGTGTGGGTTTTAAAGCTTTTGGGGTTTAGGGCTCCTTCGGTTCGGGTTTAGGGCTTAGGAGCTGGGGCTTGAGGCTTGCGGTGTCATGCTTAAAGGGGTTCGTGGTCTCCCAAGCTTTCTTCTCTTCATCACCCAGGGTCTAAGCCTGTTGTGGGCGGTGCATTGAGGGTTTGGGCTCGCGGGGCTTTGGCTCAGGTCTTCGGGCTCAGAGTATGGCACTTATAGTTCGGGACTTAACACAGATCATCTTCAGGACACGTAGGTTCAGAATGAACTCTGAAATGGCACCGTAGGCGGCAGCTGCTCTGCTTGAAGGTTCCCTTCAAAGCCTTCATGTGCAAACCAGTGTGGGCGATGTGCCCAAACCACTGCTGTTGAGAAGGCCTATGTTGGAAGTCATCATTCCGGACACTTGAGCCTCCAAAGCGACTGCCAGAAAGAGCGCTGGAATGGGAAGTAGAAGGGCAGGCGCACTCCAAACTCCTGCGGTTGAGACATGTCTCGACTTTTTCCATCCACTGCAGGGTTCTATGATGGCTCAGCTGAGTTAAGGGGGGGGGCCTAGAGCACCCACCTTCTGCCCTGAAGCCCTTAAGCATTCGGTGGTAGCATCCCTTCGTCAGCACCGGCCTCATGCCTTAATCTTAGAGCCCTGAAGCCTCGAAACCCCTAAAGTGTTAGGGTTTGGGGTTTGGGGTTTAGGGTTTTCTAGGGTTTTTTCGGGTTTGGGGTTTAGGGCTTTTTGGGGTTTGGGGTTCGAGGAACCCGGGGCCAATGCCATAGAGGCTCAACGAGCCCAAGAACCCTTGATTCAGGAGTGCCCCTTCAACGATCGATGTATCGCATGAAGTATAAGATATGATATTGCTGCAATCGTTCCGATGGGAGGGGTCCTAGGAAGGGTTCCTTTAAGGGCTTGGGGTATGGGGCTCTCGAATTTTGTGAAACTGATGGGTCACAGTCCTTGGGAACCACGCGGTCAAGATACCACCCAAGCAGAGTGTACCTCGCTCCCACGAAGGCTCAGGGCTTTGAGGGCTTGCAGTTTAAGATTTTTTGGTTTAGGCTTCGGGGTTTAGACGGTCTTTGGCTGTATAAGTTGCCAAGGAAGATCTTTGCACAAGACGCAGGATGACCGAAGAAACGCTCCCTGAATACTACTGTCGCATGGCTTATTAAGAATCTCAAGCGGGGCAAGAAGAACCGAACGTTGACAAACCCTAAGTCGACAATCCTTTCCTCAGGCTCCAACTCCAGTGCCCTACACCCCTAAACCCTAAAGCCCTAGTCGTCTGCCTTGAGCTTTGCTTCACCACGCCAAGGAGCCCAAAAGCAAGCGTCTTGGAACAAAGGGATCCTTGAAATAAGGATCCTCCCATTGAGGCCATGTTGGGGCTCCACTTGCGCGGCCGCGTTGCAAGAGGATGTCAAGGCACATCATCCCCAGAACGGATGCAAAGGAGGAATTTGCCACCTGCCACAGCAAGACTAGTGGGTTTCCTTGCGGGACGGGAGTCCTATATACGGTGCCGGTAATGGGGATCCTAGTCCCTATAGGCGTCTGTTAGCTCCCCTTATTACTTCCTGACACAACGACGCAGCCTCTCCCGGGAAAAGGTGTGGGCAAGCAGGGTCGATTCTTTTCGTGTACGGCTTGTGGAGTTTCGGACTGTGAGGGGGGCGGATTGGGGGGCTTACGGTTGAGGGTCTAAACCCTAAAACCCTAAATCCTAAACCCCTAAGCCCCAAACCCCTAAACCCTAAACCCTAAAACCTAAAGCCCCAAACCCATAAACCCCCTAAAGGACTTACCCATGGATGCAAGCTCCGGGCCGAAATCGGTGCCGGAAAGATTAAGATAACCACTCGAAGCCCTCGTCTCGTTCCAGTAGGATTTAGGGCTTTCAGGGTTGAGGGTTTAGGGTTTAGGCACCCTAGACCTCACAGAACAGAGAATGAAAACCCATACGACAGCCATATTATATAAAAAAAAACATGCCCTCATGAAGCCCTCGCAGCGTAGAATCCTTGCGGAACCCGCAAAATGCCCCCCCAAAAAATTGTCCGGGGCTTTCCGCAGGAAAGTCGCTCGACCATCTGAGACCCCTGAAACCCCCAAAACCGAAATGACCAGAAACATCCTGGGCCCTAATGTAGGGGCCTTAATAATCTGAATGGGGTTTTGGGGGGTTCCTTAGTCTAATTATAGTATCATGGGCCCCAAAACCCTATTCTAATTACTAAGGCCCCCACATTACACCCTACGGTAAATACCCCTTTGAAACTCTAAACAGTAGACTATCGGGGCCTCAATGATTAGAAGTCTATGATACGATCAGAAAAATAAGGAAGCCCCTAAAATGGTATAGGTAAATATTTAAGGCCCCTAAATTATGCCCTGAATAACCCTAAACCCCCCCACCCGACCTGCAAGAAGGCGTTGCCCCACTGGGCCCCGACGCGCGCGGCCTCGAACTTGGCCAAAACCTGGACTACGCTGGGCTGAGAAGGGCTTCAGGAGGGGCCTAGTAAGCAATATGAAGGAAAGCAAAACAAGGGCATTCGGAACTTGTAGCTTTTAACTGTGCCTTTCGTTGATAGGGAGCCCCTGCAGGTGCTCAGATTAAACAAGCCCGAAAAGGCCGTAACACAAAACCTCCAACCCAGAAGCATACTGTTGAGGAGCAGGGGATACAGGGTGTAAGCATCGAGCACTAAGAAGGAAGGCCAAGACATCCAAGATGGATCCCATGATTCCGGCGAAGTCTTAGTCATATGTGTGCTTGGGCTTTTGTCGGCGGTGGGTTCTTCGGCACTTTTTCGCCTAAAGACCGGCGCCTCTATGCCTGAGTCTTCATGCACCGTCTTCGGTCACAGTGGTCACGCGCCAGAACTGCCCACGTGTCCGAGCTGACCACGAGTGGAGTGACAGACTCGTGCAGCTAAGGTACACAAACAGCACTTCATCCGAGACGATGACGAAACGAACGAGCAGCAGGAGCGAGGGCGACGGCTTGCGGTCTCTACTGCACCCGAAGCGCGGAAGCCTTTTTGCTAAAATCCAGACTTTAGGGATGCGAGCCCAGGCACCGCGAGGCCCGTGCAGAAGGCGGCATTCGGCATGAACATGAGCCTGGATCCACTTTTCGCATTGCATTGGATGTTGAAACAGTTAGCAGGTAAAATTTCCAGTTTCTAACCATGCACCACCCCCTAGCACCCAAAGCATACCAAGCTATACCTCAACCTCCAACCTCCGCCATTCCTCCCCAGATTGAGGCAAGAGGCAGCAAAGTGACGGTTTCAGAAGGCGGACCGTCACGGTTCTGCGAGGAGTACCTGCAAAGATGGGTCTGCTCCACCTCTCTTGGAGCTGCTTCGGAAACTTCCGGGGTTGTGTCCTTCGTCCTCTGTGGTGTTGAAGACTCCCGGTGTTAGCTCTCGCACTAGCGATTGTGGACATTGAGGCGTCGCCGAAGTTCAAGGT